GGCCCGCCTGCTCCGGCACCTCCAAGTGGCATACGTCCACCAGCCCCACTAACAGGTTCTACACTTCCGCGGGCGCCCGCCACGAGCCCTGCAGTGCCTGCAGCACCAGCACCTCCGACTCCAGGTGCACCTGCGCCTCCGAGGCCTGTGCCAGGAGCACCCGCTCCAAGACCACTTCCTCCAGCAGCCCCTGGTCAACCAGTGCCACCCTCTGCCTCCCCACTACCACCTTCTGCCCCTGGTATCCGCAGTCCATCTGTAGGGTCACACTGGTCGTCACCTGCTACTGCCCCTGCAGTGCCTGCGCCCCCTGCACCTTCTCCACCCACTCCATCTCGACCGCAGACACCGCTCGCACCTGGGGGTTCGAGCTTGTTGGGTGCAGCACGGCCTGCACCACCAGGCATCTCCGGACCACCACCCCCGAGCCCCGCCTCCACCTTGTTGTCACGGCCACCTGCAGTCACAACCATGGGCTGCCGAAACGTGTCGATTTCAACTGCAGCACCACCTCCAGGACCCCCGCCTCCACCGCAAAGCACGGTGCCAGCCTCGAGTGATACCAGTGCGTTGCTTGTCTTGTAGCCTCAGTTCTGTCTGAGAGTAGTCCAGCAGTCGGGGCAATTGCAAACGGTTGTCCGTGAGCCTAAGGTGACGCCTGGACTGCGCTCCATGCGGTTCAGATGAAAAGCAAAGGTGCTGGGTGCTGGAATGCTTCATCATCGTTACCAGGGTACTAACAGCAGCAGCAGACCTTGACTAGCAGATGTTAGCAGTGGTGTAGAGCGCATCACTTGGCCAAGGAATCACAGCAACCAGGGCTGAAATTGCGACGAGCGACTTGTAGCTCTGCTAGTTGTCAGAGCCAGGGCATGCAACTTGATTCATGCTACAGCAAGATGGGGCGTTGATCTAACAGAAGTTTGAAATGGTAGAGCTTCAGCAGAAGCAGGGGCACATGTCTTTGCAGAGAAGGCTGGCAATGTGAGCATGATACCGCGCGCTGATGCTCTGGCAGCAGGGAAAAAAGGCGGTTTCGGTATTCCATAAACGTGTGCGTACAGCTGTACGAACAAAAGGCGCACCATGTGAGTCTCATGGGAGCTTCCACAAATCCATGTAACTGTGTAGCTAGGACCTACAGTCCTACAAATAATGTCCTGGGAGCTATGGTGCCCGCGCTGCCCTCGTACAAGCAGCATCTAGCAAGGCCTGGTGGCTTGAAGCCAAAGTTGAGCCTCCAACGTTTAAGCATGATGCAAATCCTGCCGGAGGCATCTCCACGATGACCGCACCTCGAATGAAAAAGTTTTCGATGGAATGGCAAAAGTATGTCAAAGTCAAATGAATGGCACTGATTGCAATGAGAATAGCAGACATCAATACGGGCTTGCCATGTGACATAAACGCTCTAGCCCGCCAAAAGGCATTCATGTGCATTGCATGACAAGGGCCGAAAGCTCTAAAGGTTTTGAATAGCCCCACGTTCCTGGTGGTGCTGAGGTAGGGCCCTTCCGCCTGCAGGCATGTGGGTGCCAACGATCAGCCTAACTTTTACTCGGAATCTAAAGTTCCTCCGTCCCTAGGCAGTCTGATCTTTTAAACGACGCAACCTGGAAGTAAACCCTGTTGCAGGGAGGTTTGGTACTTTTTCATGAGCTTCCCAAGAACTCTGGAGAATGATTCCACGGCACTTAGCAGGGAGTGAGGACGTGAACTACAGGGATTGTCAATAAAAATGATTGTAGATAGCATACCTTAGGGAACTGGAATGGCCTGAGCTATGGTCGACACGGGAAAGAGCTGCATGGGCATAAGACTTGGCACCTTCCCCCGCACCAACAAATGTTCCCAAATATGCCCCATACCCTTAGGTATATGTTCGGGTTGTATGGGGATAGTGGGAAAGAAAATGGAAACTACTATACTGGGTTTTTTAGGGTTTAGGAGGTTGGGGGCTCAATGGTTACCGTAAGCCCCTATAAAAATCCTTCTACGTTGATGTCCCATTATCGTTTTCATTTGATTCTCGGAGGGGGGAGGGGGGAGCAAGACCCTGCGTGCCTTGCCCCAAGTAGCCAGAACTGCATTGCTGTATCCAAAATTCTCCATAATTTCATATTAATGTCATGATATCTTTCTCTTCATATAATTGTGTTATCAAATGTTTAACAATTTCTGCAATTTGGATTATGCAAATAGATTTGAGAGAAGGGATGAGATGCTAACTTAAGTTACCTGACTAAACAAATCTACACGTACTGTGCTTGAGCTACTCGATGGAAAGCGGAAAACCTTAGATAGATAAATAAGTGAAATCCACTTCCCATTCTGTGCATATATACAAGATCAACAGGTCCTGGGTGTTGAGAGCCTGGCCGTGGTCCCTTGCTGAGATGAACTTTGGGTGGATTAGGGAGTCTAGGCAGGGTGTCTTACTGGGGTTGGTATGGAATGTCGTCCCTTGTTCCCTACTAACAAGCAGAAAGGTGTGCTGCAAAGAGATTTCGGGCCTAGGCGCCTAGGCTCGAGGGCTTCGGATTTAGGGCTTTGGTCCCAAACTATCAGATTGTAAACCGTAAGGATGCAAAAAGGAGCCCATGGTTTTGGGAAGCCCCCGTATTTCATGACTGCATGGGGTTTGGGATTTGTCATGGCTCTGTTGTGTGTGGGGAAACGGTTGCTTGGCAGTATTGGCGGGTGCCTGCACAGGGTGTCCTTCTGCCATCAAAAGGATGCTTTCACTGAGGTGTCACTTCCTGGCAAGGGTGGAGAGGCCCGGCTATGACACAACAAGCACGTGCTGAAACAGGTATGTGGTGGTTTCCCAAAATAGGGGGACCCCAAAATATTATGATCCTTATTATCGGAACCTCCAAGAAGGGGTACCCTGATTTTAGGAAACCCCATGTGAGCGGTTATGAAATATAGGCTTCAACTTGGAACCCAAACCCACAAAGCTAGTCTTCATGAGGCCTTCACGGCCAGTCATGTGACTGCTTCTGAAAAACTTTCATGGCCAGAAATGTGGCAGACTTCGGGGTAGAAGCCAATTTCTTAAGATGTAGTTGGGATGTCGATTCGTTGCGTTTCGCCGAAAAAACAGATGAATCGCAAGGCCTTGGATTGGCTGGCCACTGCTCTGCCGGCGGCACGCAATGCTGGTGGCGCAAAAGGAGGCTTCGAGCATGTTGCTTGAGCGCTCCTAAACCCTAAACCCTCATGCAATCCAAATTTCAATTTGTCCATTGGCTTTCCACGTCCGACATCATGTGACCCAGGCTGTGCAGCTCTCAGCGCAGGTGGTAACTCCACCGCAGTGGTAGTGCCGGACTGGGTGCTTGATCACTTGGAGGTTCATGGGTAGCTGTTTGAACTGTCATCTGGGTGTTGTGGTTGGGTTTGTGACTTCTGTTCCGCTTGGTTGAATCATAGCACCCTACCTTACGGTCTGCGAATATATGGGAGCCGCAGGAATCAGCCTTGCATGCGGTACCTCCACCTCCTGGAGCCAACATAGCTACCTGGCAGCAGGTCGGTCAACGCTGAGTGCCCCACGAGTTTTGGATATTGCGATACAGGATACGGCCGGGTAGGGGGTGAAAGCGCAAAAGGCGGGAAGGGCGGATAATTCCCAACTTCATGCTTTGCAAAAAGCTCTACAACAGCAACCATCCCTGAGCTGTTAGCAACCTTGGGACCTGCCAGTCCAGAACACTTTCAGGCTTTTAGTGGAAAGCACGTCCGAGTCACAAGCAGTTCTCAAATCTGCTTATATTTCAATTTGTACTTGGGGCTGTAGAATGTATAGTCGGAGGACGGGGGTGCCTCCTGCTACTACTACCGATAGTCCTGCCGCTTTACATTGGTCTGCTTATTGCTACTGCTATTTCTGCTCAACTGCACTTGGTTTAGCGAAAGTGTACGTATGCCCTTTCAAGAACAGAAATCCCTAAACCGTGCAGGAAGTCCAAAGCCTAAGCCATTACCCAGGACAAGCCCTGGGCTGCTTTGGAAGTCTCCTTGGCGAAGCGGTGCGCGCCTGCCAGTCCTCCCATTGCTTCCTAGAATCCGCCAATCATGCAGTTCTTACATCCTGACATCTAGAACGGAACGCGGAGCTTTGGATCAAAAAGCTTCTCCATGGCTATCCTCTTGTCAAGCTGCGAATAGAACTGCAGACAAAAACAGAGCTGTCCTGTGCCAGGGCCACGCCGGACGCCCTAGTGTTGGCCACGCTGGCCCCCATTCTATCATCCGCCAAGGTTAGGTGGCAGGAGACCCAGCTGGAAGTTGATTGAAATGCGTGAAGGAAACAGGAGAGTTCAGCAAAGCTCGCCAAGGCGTGCAATGCCCGCCGCACAGGCCGAGCCTGTACCTGAAAGCACTTGCAAGACTCATGGCATTCATGTTCTGCAGGCAGCGTGCTTGCTCCTCATAAGGGAGGACGAGCTCAGTGCAAGACAACTCCAAGACCATGACCGTCATCGTTGTGTCAGCCGCAGGAAGATCTTGCAGCGGCAAGTGTCGCACTGGTCCGTTCCGGGCACTGCATTGGCCCTGCCGTTGGGACCTTGGGTTTTTTGCCGTGGCGTTGAAGGAAGCAAAGTGCACAGGGCTTGGCTGCAGGGCCGCGTATGCCCTCCCAAACCTCAGGAGGATCCGGACCTGCCCTCAGGCCTAGGCAGTGACATCATCATTTTCTATGCAAACTTGCGCAATTTCGCGGGTAGATCCAAAGGCAGCTTCCAACAAGAACGCAGAGCATGTGGGTGCCTGGGCTTTGACTCGCAGAGAGGAGTCCGTGCTGCAGATCAAATCTACTTTTCGCCTGCAAGCTGTTCGTATGTGTATAAATACAGACGCATATGCATTGCGTCGCGTCTTACGCCACATCTACATGTATGTGTACGCACGTTTTCTGATTGACTATGGTAAACATTAATATCAACGCATGAAAAACACAAAAGAACATTCGAACTCCTGCGCTGCAAGACCACATGTGGAAGGAGCCTGTCGGCAAGACCGTAGAGGAGCCTGACGCCAAAGGCCGCGCGCACACTTCACATGGTACACTTCAGCAATTAGCACGTCAAACGTGTGCCTATGGTCCCTATATAACGGTGTCCGTCACTTGAGCTGCCTGCATGGCGCAGGTCCGCTTCGGCTGCAGGCTGGCAACAGTTGGCAATTCACTTGAATTTGCCATGTCACGCTCAAAGACTTATCCTGAGAAGAATGTGCAGCAGTCTGGGAAAGAAGCTTCGCGTATGTCAAGGGTGTTAGGTTGGTGTTGTTCAGGTCTCGCTGCTGTTTGATATGGGCACCTTCACAGACGCATGTTCAAAAGAAAAGTGGAAGAGCGAACCCGTCAAAGTCAGATTGGCCAGCCCCATCTAGCCACTCATTGCCCGTGGTGGGGTGCTAGGGTTGTCTGTTGGCTGTTTTCACAGGCACCATCTGGAGTCTATGTGGAGGTGCGAATTCCTCAGGAGGGATCGACCGTGCAGGCGTGGTCAAATCATGTCAGCTAATCTGGAATGCAGTTGCCCATTGTGCCTGGAGAGGCCTCCTGTGCAGGGATCCACGCTGTTTTGGAGGTCAGTGGAGGCCGCAAAATGAGCGTGGGGTTCCCAGCAGGGTGTCTCAAGGCCTTAAATGCACACAAAGTTGATTCTAATGCCAAGGTGCGGCATCGCGTAGTTGACTTTCGGCCACCCACGGGAAGGGTCCTTTGCACGCAGGCACATACCAAATCCTCGAGGGTTCCCGGCCACATGAGCATGCCTCCTGGCTCAGGTCAAGTTTGACCAGGAGGCAAAGCACCAACATTCGGGGCTGATTCGTCACAGCTTGTTCTTTGTAAACAGGTCATGGCTGCAGAACTCAGTCATCCTCGCGGTCGATACCGTGACGAGTGCGCCAATTGCATCACACTCATAATTACTGCCAGCATGCCCCTTCAGGTGTGCCCAACAGTCTGAGCGCAGGTACATTGAAGCCTGGGCTCGTATTCAGACTGGTCCTGTCGCAGCGCTGGGACCTTGCATACGTTTCAAGAAGACAGTTGGAAGAAGCATGCCCGAGTTGTCTAGCGGAGTCTGGCGAAGGCTGGAGCTGATTTCGGAGGAGCCGGCTGTAGGACCACAGCGCACAGGTGCACGTAGCAATGTCATTCCACAAGCTGCAAAAATGTCGTATGTAACAAGATGTCCTCCGGCAGGGTACTGGATTTTCTGCGGCACCCGCTTTGCGCGTGTCATCGGCCTTCCGGTGGGGCAGGACATTTGTGAAATCAGTGTCGCTAGGAAATTGTTGAGTGCAATCAGAGCGTGCTGGCATGCAGGGTGTGGTTTCTGCCTGAGCCTTGGTAAGATTTCGCAGATGCGCAGAAGATGTGTTTGCAGAATTTCAGCTGCCAGGGCACGTGCAGCGGGTCCTTGGAGCAGCTCGAAGCTTGCCTTGGTGGGGTCAGTAACTGAGAATTGCACAATGTTTGCCGGGGCAAGCGTAGGCGTACGCTTTCATGTGCAGGCATTGGTATGCGAAGGGATCAGTGGTTGGCCAAGGCAGCACGGGAAGAGCTTCACACGCGCTACGAGGCTGCCAACAAAGATCCACAAGCCAGAGAACGGCCAACCTCCTTGTCAGGCTTCGTGGGGCGACATTGAGCGCCCTGGACGGCTACGAATCCGGGAGGAGGCACGCCAAAGAAGGAAAGCACAGCAGGAACTAGCAATAGCCATGAGTAATGATAGCTTTTAAAGTGCTGTGGCATGGCCGCAGGCCTGGTCGAAGAGCAAATCTGGCGACCTGATCTATGACCAGGTTGCGACAACAAAGTTGATGTTTTCCTTTTCTGACTTTGGGGTGGTGTTGCGTGAAGAGCCTTTTTTTCTTGGCTGGGCAAAGCTGATCGGGATGTGTGCAGCCTTCTTGGATTGACATGATAACCTCACCCTTTTAAGAATCCCTATGAGAGAAATTTGTGTTTGTGGTTTCCTAGTTTGGGCAACCACTAGTACCACATGAATCTGGTGCAAGTTCAGGCAACGGGTGTTGGTGGCACAATGACCTTCGGCCAGAGCGAGGTGCGTCATAGCCACTTCAGAATCACTGCAAGCTCTTCCAGTCTCATGTTTGCCCTTTTCCTTTTTCAAGAAGACATTGTCTCAATGAACTTTTAGGGGAAGTATGTGAGGATGTTTCTTGAGAAGGCTTCCAGCATAGAACGCAGCACTTGGAGATATCCACGAGCGGTCAAAAAGAGTTCCTTAACCCCGGCAGGTGCTCCATTGCTTGCCGAATGGGGTGAAGCAGACATGGCGCGCCAGTACTTACCAGCAAAAATAGAAACAGACACTGTGCTGGAGCTCTTTTCAGGCGCATCCGGGACTGGGGCTTGGACCTCGCATGCTTTAGCTTGTTCCCGGTACAAGGTGCCTGAATTTGTTTTTTCCGCATCGTTTGTGTGACGGTGAGGCTTCGATCCATTTAGACCCGGAGGGCCGATGCCGGTAATGCTGGGCTCTCGGGCGCTGAGACCAAAGCATGGAAAAGCGAGCAAAGTGCCAGGCCCGCAGTGGAGGCCATGAAGCATCAGGGAGTGGTTGCTTCTATGAATTACATTCTTGTATGGCATGGAAAGGCCCTTCAATCTGATGATGAGGCATGGTAGCATTGCATCACCTATGACTACTGCACAGTAAGTTTGATGAATTGCGACCCCTGCAGTTTTCGTCATCCTCCAGTTCCTCAGCATCGCCTGGGCCTTGTTTGAGGTTTTTGCAATCCAGCCGACGCGCTGAAAGCGGCCCAACGTGACCCCAAAGATGGAAATCCCAAATAGTAGTTTACATTTTCTTGTCCATTATCCCAATATCTCCCCTAATTTATACCCAATTTTACGATAGTAGTTTTCATGTTCTTTTCCATTATCCCAGTATGTCCCCTACATACCCCCTTATCCCCCCCTCAAACCTTAGGCCTGCGATAGCTCAGCCCGCGGCTGCAGCTCCACCAGCTTCTGGAGCTGCACCAGGACGGATAGTGGGGTCACATACAATGACACAGGGAGAAAATGAAGAAAATGGAAACTGCTGCTACTTTGGATTTAAGGCTTAGGGATATATTTTCTCCAAAAATCGGAGTCAAATGAAAAAGAAGATGGAAATTAAAATGCAACCTCAGGGGTAAGCAGGGATTTGTGCGTATGTGTGCTTCCTAAAATTTGGGGTACCATTCTGGGGTTCCCATAACAATGGACTAAAGCTAGTAAATTGGGTCTATGTTGGGGTCCCGCTACCTATGGAAACAATCGGATGGCTCCGCTTGCAAAGTTTTTGTTTTTTCGATCCTTGCGGTCAAGCTGAGCCAATGGTTTATGATGGTTCTGATCGTAGAAGTATACAGGGACAATGGAAAAGAAAGTGGAAACTACTACGTTGTAATAGGGCTATTACTGCATTGTAATAGGGTGTACAATTGGATTTTATAGGGGGACATATTATCCCCAGGTGGCTAGCCTGCCGATTCGCACGCGGTTTTGTTTCTCGGGCACTCGACTCCTATCTGTTTTGGCTACTCGGATAGGATCCCGAGAGTTATTGTGTCCAGCTCCTGGTTATATAGGGAATAATGGAAAAGAAAATGTAAACTACTACAATGGGTTATAGGGATTATATAGGGGCTATATAGGGATTATATAGGGTATAGTCCACGGCAAGTAGATAATACATGGGGATCTTATTGTAATCTTCCCAAAGCCATATTCCATCTACTTCAGGGGGACTATATATATATATTGGGCCACAGGAGCTGCTGCCCCAGCTGCCCCAGCAGCGGCTCCAAAGGCTGCACCGGGCCTCAAGGCATATCTTTTTCCCCATTGCCAGGCATCCCTCAACATATGAGCTATAGGCAAGACTCCTTAAAAGGGGGAAGATATATGTATGCATTGGATTATCTAGGCGAGTATTAGAGTGGTTATTAAGGGGGATACTAGGAGTTTAGACTGTGGCTCATATCGCTGTTGTGTTATAATAGTTGTCGCTAATCAGCTTGAGTAGACCGGCTTATGCTTGAGGCATGTCGAGATGGTATAGCAAAATAGTCGAGATAGACATTGTGTAGGGCATTGACCAGACATCCCAGGCAACTGCACCTCCTGCACCAGCTCCCACACTCCAGGTGCCGCGGGTCATCCATGGGAAAAGTATCAAGACTTTCAAAAAGATGGTGAAGGGTTAGCTGTTGTCAATCATGCTGGGGTGTCTGCAGTTGCCAGTATGAGACAATTTTCAAAAGGGCTACTATCTTCAGCAGGTTGGAGCTCATCATCTGGCAGCAACGATGCATTTCAGAGATTAGCTGTTTGTGGCTGCCTCTTCAGGCTTGCAGCGGTCTGAAAATGAGGGTTTCAAGCTCCAGTGTTTCTTAAACGAAAAAAGCCCTGCCTCATTTGCTGTTATCAGCTCATTGACCACCCCATGAGTTACCATCGCACCAAGACTTGCACCTTGTTCCATTGTTTGCCTCTTCCTTGCTGCCAGGCCCAGGCTGTGGCAGTTGCGGCCAAAGCCTCAAAGAGCCGCTCTCGGTCGAGCTCCTCCGGCTCTTCCAGGCCCGAAAGCCTGTCGCCACCTGTGCCCGATGGGCGAAGGTACTCACAGGCAGTCACTGCATCGTGAGGCGGCGGGGTAAAGCGAAGGAAAAGGATAGGGACAAGCGCGAGAAGGAGAAGGAGAATGTCAACAGCAAATTGTGCAGCAACCTGATTCGCAAGTGCATTTAACTTGACAGGACCGCGCTAGGGATCGCAGGCGCCGCGAGGCGCTTCCATCGTGATGGTAATGGTGTTCTGCAGAAGTAAGAAGCGCAAGATGGTAGGCAAGCGCGAGTGCTTCGCGACACCGTCGCCGCCGGCACGGAAGGCAAGATGCGTTATCTGTTGACCAACCAGTCTTTTCTGCGGATTTGTGCGCGGCCACTGCAAGGCGCAGGAGGGACTCCTCACAGCCCAAGGCTTGGCTTGCTAGCTTTAGCTGCTTTGTCGTTGATGCTTGACATGGTGCAGGCGCCAGCACCGGTAGCAAGCTTGGTACATCCCTTTGCCACTCAAAATTCGTTCTTCTGATGCCATCAAGGCATACCCGTATGGAGCTTATCCGCCACAGGCCAGGAGATCGTCAAACGGATAGTTGTTGAGCTCTTAAGTTGCTTGCGTAATGGAAGGCAACATACCCACCGCTTGCACCTGGCAGCAAGCTAAGCGGACAGGCAGGCATAGTACATCTCGGCACCCGAACATTTGTAAGGAAAAGCGCCAGCTCCGCATCTACCTACTTATCCACCTGGGCATGGGGCTCAGGGCTGGCATGCCATGGCCTACATTATTTTCTTAGTATTATTGTTCGTATCATTTCTATTGCTATTACTATTGTTATATGAATCGTCACCGGAGCTTGACTGCATGGCTGACTGCAAGGCCACAAGTATTTGGCCCTCCAGGCAGGTAGTAAGTAAATCATTCTGCGCTAAGAATAATTGCAATAATACGAGTAATACTCACAATGAGAATAGTCTTATGCATACCAATAAGACTTACAGCCAGGTTTCGCCCATGCGCCACCTGGATATCCACCTCACCCTGCGCACCCGCCACACCTCCACCCACATCCACACCCACACCCAGCAGCCTTCCACCCACCACCACATCCAATGCATCCGCATCCAATGCATCCGGTGCATCCAGTGCATCCACACCCAATGCATCATCCTGGCCATCCGCTTCCTATGCAGCCAGCACCTCGAGGTGGGTACACATACTGTTTGCACGCACATTTTCAGGAGCTTTGTGCCCAACAGATTAATGCGCCTTGTTCAGGGCATCCCGCTTATCCATGGCCTCCCTACGCAGGACGAGTGAGACTGAGAAAGCCGCGCGCATATTCGGGCCAAGGAAGCAATACTGCAGGAGCTCGCTTGCCGCGGCCAGTTGCCAAGGCCAAAAGAAGATCCAAGCAGCGTCCTTTCGGTTCTTGAATCTCATTTCGGGGCTAGAGCGGCTCTAATTACCCTAATTTGTGGAGAGTCTGCTAGAGATCAATCGTGACATACATTCTGGTGCAGGCGCCTGCTCAAGCGCCATCCAGGGAGGCGGGCACATTAGCAGCAAGCAACCTCTTGGGAGTTTTCAGAAATGACTGGGTCCTTCCGTTCTGGAATCTACCAGTTCATGAACTTTGGCAGCACAGGATGGCCTGAATGGAGACGGCGTGCCCCTTATGTACAGAAAAGACTTAGTCTCAAGTGCTGCAGTCTGGCAGTTAGCTGCTTGTTTGGGTTCCAATACTGCTAAGGCAATGGCGCCGCCGCGGGCTTGGTGAATGATATCACCGTTGGTAGACATGTCGCGCAGAAGTTGAAAGAAAGGTCTCCACGCAGTACCAGCATTGACAATGGTTGTGACAACGGGGAGGCAAACAGCTAGAGCAGGTTTTGCGATGATCCTACGGGCCTGCACGGCATGGTACATAGAGGCGACTGTGTGTTCATGGGCGCATTCACTCAACACCCGAAGTCCCTGCTGAACCATCCCAAAACAACGTTTCAAGCCGGTGAAATCTGAACCCCAAATCCCCCAACCCTGAACCCATCAATCCCTTCACAAATCCTTAAAACCCAAAGTACTGTGGATCGAATCCAAAAACCTGGCTCAGGTCGGGTTGGCCTCTGGGGCCAAGACCCTACCTCCGAAGGCAGCTGGGCCAGCTCCGAAGGCTCATGTGCCAGTCATTGTAAACATGGGTGCTTCCTAAAATTAGAGGTACCCTTTTGGGGTCCCTTAGTCAGGAACATAGTACATTGGGGTCGATACTGGGGTCCCCCTATTTGGGGAAACAACCTGTGCCGAGATGTTATTGGGGGGCTTCCTGTAGCACCCTGGCCATATCAACCCTCACGGATCCTAATCTCAGCACATACCCGTACCGCAGAGATGCGAGAGCCTGTGAGTTGAGATGTCAGACAGACTCCCGCAACTTGCCAGGCAGAGAGCATTGGGAGCGCTTGGGGCCAGCCAGTAAGGGCGCCCATGACAGCCGCACCTAACGGTGCGGGGGTCGGGGCAGGTTGGGGAGATCCTGTTCCGGCAGGAAAACCACCTGCAGATCCGAGAGTTGATTGGTTCTGCCGGCAACATAGCCTGGACGCAGCAGTTGAGAAAAGCCTCAGACAGCTGGGGCCAGAAGCACAACGTCGTGTGATGGACGAGGGTCCCATCGGCGACAACCCCTCCCTCGAAGTGATGAACCGGATCCATCGCATCGAAGCCTGGGAACATGGCCATCATGTTGCGAGCTTTTGTGCTCGGCACCTCGTATCGGCTCAGGCTCAGGATGCTCTCAAAGCCTTGCCCGTGGAAGCCGCGCGCAAGGTGATATCGGCACCACTTGCCAGTCAGGATCCTTCTGGTGAGCTCCTGGGTCGATGCCAAGATGTCTGCAAGGACAGGGCTTCCGGAACGCCTTTGCAAGTTAGAGCGAAGCTTCAAGCTTCAGGACACCACTGCGGCTGAAGATCCGAGGCGCCTTCATCTCCTGCATTCTCAGAGATTCTGAGCTGTTTGGCCTTGCAAGGAAGCAATCATCCAGCTCCAGCTCGCGGGATTCCCAGTTCAGATTTTCAGAATGAGTACCCCCAATATGGTACAATCAACAAATCTGAGGAGTGTTCATCCCTGGGAGCAGTAAGGGTCATTCTGTTGCCAAGCTTGCGTTCATTTCAAGGTCCTCGGGCTCGCGTTCACGGAGCCAGCGTCGTTGATGTGGTCAGCTTTGCATCCCTTGCAGGGCACCAAAAAAATTCTGGCGAACGTCCTCACAGGAAGTGGTTCAAATAGATATTGCTGGAGAAGAACAGGGCTATTGAACATATCAATGGAGCGCGTATCATTTGAAATAAAATATGATTGGAAAAATTGCGTATATAAATTCAGATATTTAATTGATTTACCAATTCTGATAGATGATATAGATTCGAAGATCTTCGAAAAATCCTGAAATTCTCGGACCCAGCGATGCTCCAAAATTTGAAGGAATTGTCGCATTTTTTCAGAAAATTTCCGGAATTGTCAAGACGAACTAGTCAAGGACCCAAAATACCCAAAAAAACAAGAGGCGCGAAAGAGGAAAGGACCTAGTTGCCTAGAGAGCAAAAAAAGAATTAGATAATAAATATATGTATGTTTATCTATATTCTCTCATATGTATTGAATATAATTTCCGTGAATTTCATATATAATGGTTCATTTTTCTTGATATTTTTCATTTTATCTATTTGCTAAAAAAATGAAATTTAGGATATTTATATATAGATATAAGATGATATTCATAGATTTGAAAATGAAAATTCAAAAATGGTTGAGAACTTAATGTTTAGATAGATTTGGAGGAATCGAAATAAATCATATATTAATATTATCGAGATGAGCCGATTAATAATTTGAATATATATTGTAATTAAGTTATTGAAATTATTACGATTTTTATTTATTGTCTTAGATTTTTTCATTGTTTTATATAATGTTTTAGTAATATTTCTGGATTTTTTAAATGAAAATTGAATTTTAGGAATAATGGAAAAGATCTTGATGAAAAAGATCGATTAGAACTTGAAATTATTCTTATAATTTAAGCATCTTCAAGAGGTCTTCTTGAAAATCTAAAAAATATATATCGGCAGGGAAAGAGGACGGGAAATGGGAGCATATAATTTGGCTAAGGAATCGAGATTCTCGTGTTAGTCAAGGAATTTTTTGAATTTCTCATATAATGATTCTGGAAATTGATTGATGATTTGATTTCATCATTATATGCGAATATTTGAATTGATTGAATAGGAGATTGATTGAATATGATTTATATTATATTGATATTCTGGATTGATTCGAAAATTTGAAAATTAGATTCTGGAAATAATTGATTGCATTTGATTCTTGGAATTAGAAATATTGATTTTAGATTTCATTCTGCTAGCTCTATCGAATATATATATATATTAATTATGATATCATTAATATGCATTGATATTATTGATATTTTTCTTTATTAATATTGTCTCTGATATTAGATGATAAATTATTATTATATATTTGAGGATTAGTATTTTATTCATTATAATTTATATTAAATCGTTAGAATTGGATTCTATTATTATATTTCAAGATGCGCGGATTGAGAAATCTAAATAAAATGGAATTGATTATGAATCTAGATTGAAATGAAAGAATTATCTGATTATCCGTAATTTGATTCTTTGATAGATTGAATTAATTGATTGAATTATTGATTGAATGAATCTAAATTTAATTTGGATTCATTTTGATTATTCATATTATTTCTGATAAAAAATGATGATAGGATTAATTGATATAATATCATTTTATCAAGGGAATATATTAAGATTATTGATTATTTCTAGATATTGAACATATCAGATATTAGATATATTTCTTTATTTCGATTATTTGCCTCAAATGACGCAACAAAAATAGATTATATTGAATGATTATAGCAGATCTATTGAATTATATTGAGCATAAGGTTGATTATAAGATTGAAATCAAATTGATTTTATTCTAAAGATATTGAGAGCTTTGAAAATATTATTCAAATTTCTTCTGAAATCTCTTTCGAAAAATTCCCAAATATCTTTAAGCAAAAGAAAAGAAGATATATTTTTTAATTTCGTCTTTCTATAGATTTCTTCAAGCAAAGGAACGATCTATATATTTATATATTTCATTTTTCTATAGACTTCTTCTAGCAATAGAAAAAGATAAATAGATTATTCTTATTCTTTCTCATAGATCTATTAAAAAGATCGTTCTATTTCTAAATTCTTTGTCAAATCCCTCTTGAAATCTCTTCTCAAATCTCTTTTCATTATTTTATTATTCATCTCTGGATATTGTTCATTATATGAAGATTAGTTGATTCAAATGATAACGAAATATTGAATTGCGGGATTATATTAAGACCAATTGAATTATATTAAATTTATGATTGATTATAAATATGAGATCAATCTGATTTGATTATGAATATATTGAGAGATTTCAAAATTTCATAGCAATGGAGCTCTGCATTCAGATTATAGGATTATCTCCTTGATTTTCTATTATTATTGAAAATTATATCATTTATCTCAAAAGATTAGGAAGGGAGATCAATTAAATTCTATCTCCGATGAATTGCAGAGAATAGGAGAAATGAAATGATTGATTATGATAATTGAAATCTCATATTTCATTCTATAAATCTATAAATCAATTCATAATAGATAAATTGGAAGGAATTAATGATATGGATATTGACCAATATATTGAAGATTAATAAAATACAATTCTCTTGGATAATAATCATTCATTTTCAATAGGAAATTATATTATATATTGATTCAGATTATCGATGATCTAATAAGATTGATTATCAGATTGAATGAGAAGATAATGGATTTGAAATTTCAAGAAAATTATATGATAGATTTTCATTATCTGATCGAATATATGGAACTAGTCTATTGAGATGATTATTGGATTTCAAATTCAGAGATATCTCATTCGAAATAGATATGATTGAATTCAATTTATTGAAGAATGAATGTGAGACGATTATTGAGAAAATATTGGACGACGATTTCTTTATCATATTCATGGCGAATAAATTTTCAGATATTCATAGAAATATTTGAAATTGAATATAGATATATTGATCGTATTCAAAGATATATTATCTATTATCAGATAATATTATCAGATCAGATATCTTGAAAATTGGAGATCGTCTATTGATGATGACGAATTCTTCCTATAAATATTGGAGTATTGGAAGATCAAAAAGAATATCGATATTCTGAAGGAAATCAAAAATATTGAAAAGATAAGACGAAATTCAAGAAAAAAGAAAAATAACGAAAAGAGATTATAATTAGAATTTGATAGGATAAGATAAACATAATAGCAAAGATAAAGAATAAGATTTAAAAAAAAATGAAATTGGATTTGATAGAATAGATTTCATTTATGATCCTCATTCTCATGAGAATAAAAATTATCCGTATATAAGATAAATAAATATTTCAGAGGAAATATTATCTATAATAATTTCAAATAATCATTATCTATCTGAAGATTAGAATTGAGATGGGAATGAATCATGATACGAAGGATGAGAAGATTAGATTATTTGGAATAATTTAAAAGATATTAGAATTGATGATGATTGATCGTATTGAGATGAGTCTTGATATGAATGATCTGAATATTCAGATCATTGATCAAATGAAAATTAGAATTGATCATCATATTCAATATCGTCAATCGATCTATCTATATTTCCAAATAATATTCAAATTATTGAGATTCAAGAGATTAATTCGATTTTGATATAGGATCTAATCAATCGATTCCCCAATAATTTATGAAGATTTGATTTATTTATCAGATCTCTTAATAAATTTATATATAGATATAATCAATGATCTAACCTTTGATAAATGATCATATTGAAAATATTCAATATAATCTATGATTCCTCTCAATTCTGATTGCAATGAATTATGCCAAGATCTTAATTTTTCTGATTTGTCATGAAATAGTGGAATTGGCTAATTGATCTAATTTCCGCTTTGGGACCCCCCTTAGAATGGGAAGGCCAATATTGAAAATCTTCCTTCTTGGAAGGTCATCTTTCGGATGCGATGCGAGGACTGATTGATTTCTACGTATATTTAAGAAAGTTGCCGGCTAGCGATATTATAAATTATTGCATCGGAATCTTTCTGGAGATGATGGAGAAGAGATCGATCTGATTGCTAATCTATTCGATCAAGATGAAATATAAAATTAAGCCTGCAACTGATAGTGATAGCAGGATTATTTATATTGCCTCTAATTAAATAAATATGACCAGGATTTTCTATGACTGAAGAATACGATCAATTTTCTGGATTCTGTCAATTCTGAAATATAAAAAAAGACCAAAGCAATTATAATAGCTAAAATTGGGCCGTTATAGAGAGACGTTTGGGATTCCGTTTCCGGCCAATTCCGTGCGATTTAAATCAATTGCACTTACCTTTCTGCAAGTGAGATTGAAATCTAAATCTTAGTTTGTAAGAGAGCAGCTGCAAAATTATTTCCAGATGTCAATATATTTTACAAAGAAGTCTCAAGATCGTTCGCAAATTTCAAAAATTAGTTTAAGGCACGCCCCCCAGAGTGGCTCAGTTATTCCAAGGCAAATCCGAATATAGTGGAAAGGGAGATAAAGGACGGACGCCTGAAATAGCTCTAAATGAATAGGAGAAGATAAGAGCTGAGATATCGATTATTGAGATATGATAATAACTGATTGATTTATTGAGATTATCTATCATTTCTTATAGGAGACGATTATTCTGCTCTAAATCAATAAGAAATAGGAGATCCTTGGGAAGAGAATGAATATTTCATTATCAATCAAGGGAGATTATTAATCCCCGCTCTTTTTTAGATCCGAATAGGATTTTGAGAGC